ACCTTAAAGTATACAGAAGTTTAGTGAGCTAAAAATAATGGTTACTAATCGGAGGGTAAAGGTTATAAAAGAAAATGTGTGAGTGGTGAGCGTTCCTTAAGAGATTTTACTAATTCTACTAAAATTTGATTATTATTGCGATCACTGTAGCATCTTTCCTTACTCTCCTCCTGAAATTGTACAGCTTTCATTCACTGATGTCCACTACATCGTGGTTATAACTTTTCAGATTCAAGAGCACCATTTAAAAAAAGAAAGTGAGGTTTTTCCTCATCGAGTAATTCTTTTAGTTTTCATTGTGTATATGCTTCTTTAATACTTATTTAAGTTGAATTTTCGGCTACAGTAACATGGAAGTTTCAGTCTTCTGTGTTTAGTGTCTATCACTTTTAAAGCTTATTTCACAAATCAGTTGTTTTGTTTCTGCTATAACTGTGACTTGTGTGTCCTGTTAATGGATAAGTAATGATACCGCCAATTAGGGAGCAGTGAATTATCGATCGGACCAATGACGCGTAAAACACGTGCGAGCAGCCCAGAGTCCTGATCGGTCCTACTTTCTGCCGAGCCCAGCCAGTTGATTCCAGAACACTAATCCGAGTCTCTGCGATCTGAATCATGTATTTCAAACATGCTCGGTTTATATACCAATCAGACAGACCACAACGTACCATAAAATAGAAAGTAACATTTGTACAAAGTTTGGTCAAATGTGGCTGTGAATGTGAGAGGCAGTGACTAATAGACAGGGCATAATTCAAGAATGGTAAATCGTAGAATAATAGTCCCTAGATCAAAATAAAGCTCATAATAAGAAAGACATGAATATGAATAGTTTAGTTATTTAACAATTATACGATAAAAATATACGCATAGTATTGGTCCATAAATGGATCCCAAAGTTACAATTCATTGTGCTTATCGGGACCTAACAGTTTATGTCAGTGATTTATTTTTTCCGGGCCTTAAGAAATTTTTTGTACATTTTTGTTCGTGAGCTCACTTAACGATTTTAATGGTGCAAACGATACATCGTTGTGGTAAACCTACATGCATTTTCCCAGTCAAGAGTGGAATGCAATGAGATAACTGTAACAATTAATATCACAGCGTGTGCAACGGACTCATAATGGCTGCGCATAAGAGGATTTCCGGGCTATTGAGCTGCGAAACACAATTCAAATATTTCCTCTGATAAGCAGCCAGCAGCAGATATATAGCTGACGTATCTAGAAGAAGCAACGAGCGTTACTGCATATCACCTTTAGATCTGAATGAAAACATCAAGCTGGCGCAAGCATAAAGCCTATTTTAAGCAATCTGGTTGTAACTCTAACTTGGCAGTGAGAAAAATTCACAACTCCAAAGTCCGCAGTAAAAGGAGATATTTACACGTCAAGCTAGCAGACAAAACTCAGGTTAATATCAAATATTTCTGCAGATTAATGACCAGAAGAATGCCTGCAAACTAAATACAGTGCATGCAAGGTGGAAAGTCTCACCATTAGGCATTTCACAAGGAACAATCTTAGGTCTACTCCTGTGCTTCATATTTAGTAGACAACGTTTTGATATAGCCAGATCATCGGCACTGATTTGTCTAGGCGGTATAAAGATCTGGAGGTTCGTAAAGAGCAAAGACGATTCATTTGAGCTTCTAAGGAACCGTGCAATAATAGAAGAATGGGTAGTACACAATAGTTTGGTACTTAACTTGTCGAAATGCCATGTCATGAGAATTATTCCTCATTTGACACAATGCCACTACACAGTCACACTCTTCATGGAATCCGCTCCCGGTTGCCTATTCAGAAAGTAATCTCATCCTTTAGGCACAGGGGATGAAGCCAAGCCAAATGCAACTCTCCACTAAATGTGGAGACAACTACTCACATTCACCGCACATTTGTTCCTAACACTGTCTAAAACATACGATCTGCCCTACCTTAAAGTTCACAATACCACCGCGTCCTTTCCATTCAAAATAGCTGTAAATCTCTTAGACAAAGTATAGGTATGGGCAACCAAGTGGGTAATAGTGCTAAAGCATAAATCTTACGAAAACAGACATAACCAAATACACGTAACCGTACTAAAACAGCAAGAAGCGAGTGCAAAGACATCAATTAGTTTCTCCATGCTCGTGATAAAAATATCGAAGGGAATGTGTTGGTGTTTATCGTTCCTGAATTGATGTTAACAACTCCAATAAAGTTTGTTTATTCTTGTGATGGCATTGGAAGATTTACCTTTTCTAATTTTAACTAAAGATTTTTACTATTATCTATAATCTTCATTTTCTTTAAAAATTATTCTTTTTTTGTATTGTTTAGTTAGTGACCGGCTATTATTTTGTTTATTTGCCTCTGTGAAGCATATTATAGTGTTATAATTTAGTAATATCTTACGCACTCGTAGTAGTACCTTCTTTTTAACAAGTATCATATTTTGTAGATCTTGTCAATTATAACAGTAATTGATAAATCCCATGTATGTAGAACAATTGAAGTTCATATAGGCTTATACTCATATGGAAAATAAAATTACATTCTACAATCATCAATCTATACATACTGAATGAAAATATATCGAGTTGATAAAATTAAAGAGGAAAAATAGAAACTAACATTCGTTCCATCCTGTTCCGTCAAATTTATAGATCATTATAGTACTTAATTACCTACTTAATTTCATCAGGAAATCATGTTTATATTAAATACATTCTGCTGTAGTGAACAAGAACACCAGTGGGGACAATCGAATGTATTCGAAACGAAATTACAGAGCAATAAAATCTGAAAACCATACAGTAAATCGTTAATTTTCAAAATATCATTCCATCTCAAACATGACTGTTCCTGTTCCAAACATCAATCCATTGTCTCAGATTTCATTATTCATGCGTTTTCATACTAACTGCGTTCCGTAACCGTTCATTCCTCACCGACCTTCTACTGAAATACATTATATGTTTGACTACCGTTATATACTACTTGTGTGGATACAACTAACCCAAACCACGCTGCTACCTTTTAGACTTTATTATTTTATGAAAAAAAGTATTCACTTACTCTATTTTGTAATGGTTAAGGTTAAATATCATTCAAACACAATTGTAATTACTAATTACATAAAAGTATCCTTGTCAATAAAGATAAAAGAGTGATTAAACAAGGATTCTGTAAAACATTGAACTTTTGAAATATTCAGTAGCAATTTAATTAGTTTAATGATGTCTTCTGAATTTCTACAAAATTGAAAATATTATAATGATAGTCATTGAATTTTAATGATTTGAGGAAAATTCTTCATTGTGGTTGAATCAACCGATGGCATGATTCTTTTCAGAATGCGGTTTATACGGCGAAATTATAATTTATAGACGAATCAATCAGATATAAGATAATAGATCATGGATTTTAGAGCGAAATTCCTTCATCTAGTTGAATAAATAGCGTTTTGACATTTTACTTGATGTCACTTTGTGATGAAAACCCTAAATCTAATTTCCAACCCTAACCATCAACTGTAGATAAAGATTCTAATTCTTCGTACTGGTTTATAACACTCATTTAGTCCTAGTTATTAGGTGGACACTTTTAAGGTCTTTATAGCATCGCTCAAACGTCCTCCATAAATTATAGTCCCACCGTTAGCATTTAAATAAAGCCCCCATTAATATCTACAAATTTTTGATTACTCACAGTTTCACATGTTTTACTTAAGTTTTTACCATACAAATGAGTTGTTAAATATGTAATTGTGATATACTTTGGTTGGTACAGGATTTCAATGAAAACCTACTTAATAAATGTTTTAAATAGTATAGATAATTTAACATAATAATTCATGCACTAAATACTGATTTGTATTTCAGCTTTCAAAATACTTTCCTTAAAAAAAGTGCTAACTATAAACTATTAATTTTTGTTTATCTAATTTACTAACAATCAAATCCACAACATTCTGATTAAAATGATTAAATCTAATTCGCTGATACTTCATTATTGAGCATATAACAGTAAAAATTAAAAACACGAAGTTCAGCGAAGGGATCTCTTTTCAACGAATATATATATATATATATATATATATATATATATATATTCTACGGATCTACAGTTTGATTTTAAGGTTGTTTATATGATTCGTTCAAATCTACCCAGATTTCTTCGTATCCAACTCTTAAAAATAGCTGAAGTTCTTATCGTCCATCAGCTTAAACCGGAACTATGCGTACAAAAGAAGTACATCTTATCATTATCGCTACCATGGCCTTAATTATTATTATCATTATCCTATTATTATTATTATTATTACTTATACTGCATCCCAATTTACTTATGCCTTATATTTACATTATTTTATTCGTAAATGCTCATCATATCACCTTATTTATTTTTACACCTCTATGACCTTTAATTATTGTAATAAGAACATTTTATTAATCATCATATTACATTCACTAAATCCATTGTCATTATTCGTATTACGTAATCTAACATTGTAATCTTTCTATTACACATAATCTTGGTTATTCGTTGTTCACATTTCCTCACAGAATTAGTACTTTTACAAAAACAAAAATTTTTATATAACAGTAGAAATTTCAATAGTTGAAATCATGAATCAATTGAAGCTAGACCACTATGGAAAACCTGAAAGCACCGGATAGCCGTTTTGTTCTAGTATAGGACTCTTCAGCAGTTTAGCTTCAATTGACTCATGATTTCAACCAATGAAATTTCTAAAAAATCTTCACAAAATCCTCTTCTGATACTATAAATATTTACAATGTGTTTTTATTGATTTTATAAGTTACGTAATATGTTTACGGAAGGAAAAGAAAAAAAAGACTATAAAATGATTTGATTAGAAGAGATTTATTTGTTTAACAAAAAATAGTACTGAAGAAAAGCACACAAACAAACAAACAAAAAAAACAATATTTTTAAAGAAAAAAGTATATTGAAATTAACATTCACTTATATTGGTCAATATTATTTCATAAAACGAATTACAATATTTTCAATAAACCATTTATTAGTAAACTTTAAATGTTCTCCACGTTTTTCTATGAGATGTAAATCACCTCTTTTGTCAAGTACTTTAAGTCCTAAACGATCCTAAAGTATAAGAATATATATATATATATATATATATATCAAATCATTAGAATAGTTATAATACAAATTATATTATGAAAAAATTATTTAGAAAAATTTGATAAAAGATTCAAACTAGTGATCAAATTGTAACTTGATCGATAGCATTCAATCTGCGCTAAGAAGAACTTGACATACATGACATTGATCATCATCCAATGATCAATCAATTGTGAATTTAATGAAATGGTTTGGAAATAATACTCATTGAAAGAATATATTGCTTACAATGAAGATGATAATGATAATTAATTTGGTTTGCACTATGTTTCAATAATCTGTTAATTGATTTCGATGTATAATTATACTTGATCTATTTTTTCTTAACGGATAAATACGAGAAAAAAATCAGTTGTCATTATTATACTATTAACTGAAACTTTATCTGATTTATTTATTTGACAAGTTCTGTTCATTTTGATCTTCAAGCTATTTAGTTAAATTGTTTTTTTTCGAATTCATTTACTTGACACATTTAACTGTAATAAAAGGAATACAATCGTTACGACATTAAATAAGAAAGATTGGTTCAGTGAAGAGTTCGCTTTTCGGCGAATTCATTTTCAAAGCTGTATAATCTCATATATATACTTATTTTTTTCAGGATGGTAATAATTGCAATAATAATGATAATGAACTTCTGTTAGACATGGTGACAGTGAGGTAGAATAAACAAAGTTATTAAAAAAATTTTTAAACAGGGAAACTAATAATCGTTTGATTGTTAATGGCTTAAATATTCACCATAATGATAAATAGGGAATTTCAATGGTTAAGATCATGAGTCAGTTGAAGCTAGACCACCATGGAAAACCTGGAAGCACTGGATGGCCGTTTCGTCCTATTATGAGACTCCTCAGCAGTGCGCATCCACGACCTCGCCACTTGAGAAATTCGAACCCAGGACCTACTGGTTCCTCGCGCGAGCACTTAATCACTAGACTACTGAGCCGGCATGCAACGGTGTTAATGTCTAACTTCAACTCATGATCTTAACTATTGAAATTGCAAAAATCTTCACAAAACCCCTTCTGATATTGATCAACATATGCTCACTAGTGACTGACTTCAAAGGTATATCCTGCAGTTCTAGTGAGAAGTAGTGACCAGTGGAGTTCAACCGGGTCAGTTGGGAGATAGTAAATCATTGATGACAATGGTGAATGTGTCGCTCAATTTTGTGGATTAGTTGAAGTTAGACATTAACACCGTTGGATGCCTGCTCAGTGGTCTAGTGGTTAAATGCTCGCTCGCGAAACTAGTAGGTCCTGGGTTCGAATTTCTCAAGTGGCGAGGTCGTGGATGCGCACTGCTGAGGAGTCTCATAATAGGACGAAACGGCCATCCAGTGCTTCCAGGTTTTCCATGGTGGTCTAGCTTCAACTGACTCATGATCTTAACCATTGAAATTACTACAATCTCCAAAAAACCCCTTCTGATATTATTGTAATTACTATCATCATGAAAAAAATATGTATATACTTGCAATTATGCAGCTTTGGTAATGAATTCGCCAAAAGGAGAACTTTTCACTGAACCAATCTCTCGCATTTAACTCTATTGAATTTATTTAATCGCCTTACTACTTTAATTATGTAAACCAATGATCATGTCCGTTTAACGTAGGATACAACTTAAAGGGAATAAATAGCCACTTTAAAAAAGTCATATTGATCTCATATGTCCGATTAACTGACTGTTTCAGCTGTTATGCATCAGCATCATCAAACTGTGATGGTTGTTTATGAGAATTCGACTTTCTTTATTTGTAGTGAGAATCAATTATCAGAAAAACGTTTTTAAACTATGATCAGTTTCACTATTACTCTTTAACATTATTGTTAAATTTTATGATTTGACTAATAAGAAGGGAAGTTTTATAAAACAGAAGTTTAGTTAGTATATTTGAAACGATAACTTACTTCATTGTATAGAATACTATCTCGTAGCTTTATTATATCTGATGATGATCCAGGTCGATAGAATCCGAACCACTGAATTAAAATTTAATTCAAAACTATTAACTAAATTATTTTATAACTTTTCAAAATTATATGTATGAGATGTATTGAGTGAATTCAGGCAATGCAGATAAGTATTGCATTATTTTATACCAATGAGCTTCTTTTAGTAGAACGTCAAATCATATTCTTCAGATAAATGTGTTAGCTTTCATTGATGAACATCAAGCCAAATGATGAGTACATTTTTATATACCTTAGTTCTAATTAGGTAGATTAATAAATATATGTAAGCGTAGAATTGTTAGCAAGACTATAATTTATGGATGAATCAATGAGATTTAAGATAGCAAGTCTCGAATTTTTAATGAGGAATTCATTGATCCATATGACTAGACAGAATTTTGGCATTATGGTTGGCGTCACTTCTAATGAGAACTTTAACACTAATAATTAATCTTAACTTGTAATACCAACTCCTAATCTTAATTCCTCACAAAGATCTTAGTAAGTAGGTGAATTTTCTCAGTTCAGCCCCTGTCAAAGGTCATTCATGTATTATAGTCAAATCGAATTATCTCAGGGTTTCACTTAATATTTATCTTGACGATAGATAATCTGACATCATTGGAAATTGATTACACAGGAGATAAAGCATGTTAGCCACACAAAAATGAATGCCGAAATTAACGAATACTTGGTAAGAGTTTTTAGGATATCAACTCTTTAAATTCCGATCATAGCGCTTAATGAAGATATATCTGATCGAACCTTACTGTAAAGTAGTACACTGTTCAGCATCCAGTAACCTGTATATATTCGTAACTTATTTATCACTTTCGAAGTGATTTGACAGTAACGTCATATCTTAAAACTGAATTTGACAAGTCGTGAACTCAAAATGTCAAGCATTTCTCAGAGACTTAAAATAATATTAATAAAAGAGTATTTAGGATATTCATATTTAAGATGAAACGAGAAGTAACTTAAAGAATATATATGTAAATTTATATATAATTTAGTTTGTATACATACTGATGATTCGCTGGGAAGTACTACGGTGTCGTTGGTAAACTTCACCAATACTAATCGCTGAATTTTCTTCATATTTTCACGGTACGTTTCGTTTATTCGCTTAATTAGAAGGAAAAAAAAACGTTAAAATCATTAAAGTTTATGTTAAAAACGATAATTGCTTAACTAATTCTTCCAAAGTTACTGAGATCATGAAATGATACAGTGACAATTAGTCAATATTTTTCCAGAAAATTCTATGGACGTTTACGGAGAGATGTAGTCAGTAACAACTATATATTGAATATGAGGTGTAAATCTAAAGTTAGAACACTTTTAAAGTAGATTAATCATACACTAATATTTTAAGACATATTTATTTCATTCTTGTGTAACACCGAATAATATCAGTTTGTGAACTAATTCGTTTTAATATGATAAATAATAAGAGAATCCGTGATATCCTTGTGCATTGTAAGATACTCGCACCCACAAGTTGACTACATCTGGCTGTAATTAAGCAGAAAAATAATAAAAACATTACATGATAGAATAATTACGAACCAGATGTTATTTGATATTTCAAACTGTCAGTGATTCACGGTGATCGTTATCAGACTAATATTACATACATTGCTTTTTAAACACTGGAGATATATGTCATTTTTATGGAATAAAAATTAGTTTTACTAACATTTTTAATTTTTCGCTTTTGATCTAACTTTCTACTACTATCAGTTTAGTTGCTAAACAAGAATCTTTTGTGAGTCTTCAAGTATCTGTATACAAAAAGTCTGTGAAATTTCTTCGCTTATGTAAATTTATCGGCATTAAAAATTTGTAAAACTTTAAACTTTTCAAACTTTAGTTACATAATTTCATTCCTGACCAACAATACTTACATTTTCTTGATTAATATCAGCTAAAAATTTAGAGTATTTACGATAGACTTTTTCTTTAAATGGATCATGCCAATATTGTGCCGGAACAACACTTATTATGTAGTAAACAAAATGAAAAAAAGAAATAATGTTTAATAACATGTCTGTGTATATAATATGCAACAATTTAATATTTTATTTTTTAATTTGATTTTAGAAAAGACTTGCAGATTATATTGAGTAAATTTCTTTGATGTTTTATATTACTTATCATATTACTCAAAATAAAAATTTTTTAGATGACAGTAATCTGATTTAATGTTCTTACTTATATTACAGTGTGAGATATGTAAAATGTATGCAAAAAGATCTCAATTAAGCAGTGTAGTTTTCTAATCTTGTACTGAACTAAGTGTGCTTAAGTCAAGATGTACGCATATATTTCATACAGGAAATCCAGATAAAGAAGTTTCACCAGATATTGAACAATACAAAAAATTAGTAAAATTAATCAATTCACAAAGACACTTCAAAGTAATTTTTCTGAGTCTCACCGATTTTGAATGTATTCAGTATATACTATATCAGATAAAAACTTATTTAACCATAAGCAATAGGGAATAAAGCCAGTATTAATGCATTTTGGAATCCCAAATATACCCTGTTGAAGTCCTCCAATAGAAACAACTGTGCCGACTTTCGAAAAATTGCATTTTTGGACTAATGCTCTAACAAGTAATCCGCCCTGTGATATACCAATCATATGAAAACCATTGGAGAGTTTTTTATCTTTATGTATCATACGACAAACATAATCCAGTTGATCATTAATCGAACGAAATACCGTGTCTCTAACATCCTATATAAAAATGAAAAAAGATATAATTAAATATTGATGGCTTACTGAATAATGAGGAGCAAAGTTGTTTTATGTTGTTAAAATCCAACAATAATGTGATTGGAAGTTAACAAGTATATAAATTGAAAAGAATATCTGAATTTCATAGTATTCTTTAAAAAGTACTCAAAAGTTATATTTTCATAAATAAATTTTAAATACTGGACCAATGTTTGTTACAGATTAGAAACGAGTTCTACAAAAATCAGCTTACGGCAGAAATCCACTGTACACTAAAAGTATACAGATTTTAACAAAATATTTTTGGTATAAATAAAGTATTCAAATGTTCTTTGATTTCCAAATAGAAAAAGGTAACGTCATATGTATACGTTGCACGGAATAACTAAAACACATTAAACCCAAACTGAGTAGAAAATATTGGATTCAAAAGAGATAATGCTCCTTACATGCAGAAAGGTGGACTGACCATAAAGAGGATAAAAAACACTTATAGGATGGAAATCACATGGACATAGAATCAGCAAAGTATCCTACAAAACAAAGAAGGAGGGAATCATAATAAAGGTTGTCCAAGATTCTGCACCCAACAGTAAAGCAACGGCGAGGATAAAGATCAGTTTTACCAGAGAATGCAATCGATCATGATGAAGTGCCTAGAAAAGTACTTTATCATCCTCATAGGAGACCTAAAAGCAGAAATTCTAAATGGACAACACAGGATATGAAGATATGATGGGACGACATGAACTCAGACAAATAAACGATGATGGTGACAGATTTCAAACTTATGCACATTCAACAAAATGGTCACATGCAGCCCTAAACTCCTTCAAATACACATACACAAAACTACATGGATCTCCACGGATCGCACTACAAAGAACCAGATCGAATATATTTGCATCAGTAAGAAGTTCAACAGGACAATGAAAGACATGAGAACCAGGAGAGGTACTAACGTAACGTCAGATCAACACCTGGTGGTGGCCAATATGAAACTGAAGTTAAAGGAGCATTGGACAACTGGACAATCAGCATTACAACGGTTCAAAACTGCCTTCTTTCGAGATACTAACAAACTCAACTAATTCAAGTTAACTGTCATCAACTTATTCCAAGCCTCACCGGATCTACCGGAAGAAGAAGAAATAACTATGAAGGAAAACTTGAAAGAGATCAAAATAGCACTGAATTCAACGTGTTAGGAGGTTCTGGGCCACAACAAGCATCATCATAATGAATGTATCTCTATGAAAAACCTGGACAAGATTCAAGAAATGAAGAGCAAGAAGACAGCAATTAATGACAGCCAGACAAGAGCAGAGAAAGTCAAGGCGAAAGCTGAATGCACAAAAGTGTAGAGGAGAATTAGAGCCAACAGGCAAAAATACGCAGAAGACCCAGTAACGACAATGGAACAAGCTGAAAGAGAAAGAAACATCGAACAACTATATGACACAACGAAGAAACTGACACAGAAATCTGGTAAACCAGAGAGACGGAATAAATCAATATGGCCATCAGGCAAATCAAGAGCAGGTAAACTGCAGGACCTGACAATGTGCCAATGTGAGAAAATACATATTTGAAAATAAATTCGCCAAGAAGCTATACTTCGGCTAAACCACCTTTTTATTTTTTGACTTCATTCTTCAAAATATGTAGTGAATATATAATATGGAAACCGATTCATGTACTTACGATACGTTTTTCAAGAAAGAAATAACTCTAGTGATTTTAATCAGAAGCGATTTTGTGAAGATTGTAGTAATTTCAACAATCGGAATCATGATTCGATTGAAGCTAGACCACTATGAAAACCTGGAAGTACTGGACAGACATTTCGACCTGTTGTGGGACTCCTCCACCACCCCACCTCACAGGATTACGAACCTAGGACCTATCAGTCTCGCACCAGGCGCTTAACCAACTAGATCACTGAGTCGGCGTCCAATGGTGTTAATGTCTAACTTCAACTAATCCACGAAATCGAGCGACACATCCACCATTGTCATCAGTGATTTACTATCTCCAAACTGACCTGGTTGAACTCCACTGGTCACTACTTCTCACTAGAACTCCAGGATATACCTTTGAAGTCAGTCACTAGTGAGCATATGTTGATTAATATCAGAAGGGGTTTTGTGGAGATTTTTGTAACTTCAATAATTGAGATCATGAGTCAATTGATTTTGATACTTCAAGTTCTTTATATATCATTTAATAAACTATTTTGAGTTCCACATAATAATCCTCATATCTTAACAAATGAACCAGTGAATAGGATGCTCATATGTATTGAAATACAGACAGATTTTTACTTACTGAACAGGATCATAACATAATGCAACCTTACGACGAATAAAACACTTCGGAAATCTACAATCTTATGTTTAAGAGAGTGATGCTCGTTTCGCACAACAAATTTTAAATTTTGAGAAGTCAGTGTTACTTTTGAACTTTTAAGGACCAGATTCCGTATTTGTGCTTTCAAAATAGTGATAATAAGGGACTTCCTTTGTAAAGAGACGAACTAGCCAATTTTAGTGAAGTTTTTTTACTCGAAACCAGTTGTTTTTATAATAAGGAATCAGAAATAACCATCTTATAAGGTATTGATTTAAAGGCAGTTAACAATGCTTTCTGTGCACAAAAGACCTCAAGAGTGACAAAAATTATAAAATTATATTATACGGTCAATAAAATATAGGAAATATATAGCAGGAGCCATGTTATTAAAAATTATATATGAGATGACTTTAGTAGTTTTGATTTGTGTGTTATGTTAGTCAATTTCAAGGGCATGTGTAAGAATTTGCATAACCCAAATGAGTTAATAAATGCTGTTTAGGTGTGTTCTCTGGAGCTACTGGAATGCGATAATAGGTTATAACCTGATCAGTCTTTGAAAATATGGTGACATCTTCTATATCATAGTATTGTCGTGGACGTGTGGTATCGGATATTGATCAGTTACTATTTGTTTGTTAAGAGTTCAAAATTCTCGCCTGATTTATCTGTTCTTTCTCAGGACTATGTGCAATGATGATGACTAAGACCTGTTAGAAGGGCGTATGGTGCCTAAATTTACTAAATTGTTAAGTTCGTTGTCGGCAACACGTAGGCGTCCAGAATAAAGGCATCTAGAACGTGTGAAGATTGAGCTTCTACTAATAACAATGTGATATACAATGCTGTTTCGAATGTTTTTGTTTAGAATTTGATTAAAACAGGTTGATAAACCATTTCAACGGCTTAGTATACATGTCGCCGTTGAGTTGTTTATTGACCAATTGATGAATGGATTTTTTGTGAATGTCGTTTATCTAATGTTGACTTTTCAAATGATGCATACTAGCTTATGGCGTTGTATATCCACTATTAGTATACGAAACCTAAGGAAATCGATGCCGATCATAGATGCAGAGGTGTCGGTTGTGATAAAATTCCAAAATAATACGTCTTGTTCTCAAGTACTAGTATCAAGTGACATCGCTTATGGGCTCTTATGAGGAGGCGATTAGCTGCCTTGCATTGACTAGACACTGCATCCTGGTCTTCTTATCTGTAAAATACAAAATAGAACTACATGGAGGACTATGATCGACGACTGCGGCCTTATCTAGTCGTCGACTGTTGCACTTTCAATGTCGTTGAAGCCGAATAAACACAGTTTCGTCTGTCTTCTAGCGGCGGTACTGAGGCTAACGTGATATCAAAATGTTTAATGGCAACTAGTGCGGTACAACGTTTTCGGCGATCTATTGGACAAGTTACGGGAGGTTTATCGAACGCTAACGCGTATATCAATGAACTACAAGTATCTGGTAAGACGTTGGACGATCATTTTAAACAACCAAGACAGTTATTTATGGGGTTTTAGGAACATAAAATTTCTTTTAACATTGGAAAGAGTAAATATGGAAAAGTAGTGCAGGAATATTACTAACACTAACCGACGCCTTGAGAAGACGTTTTTGGACACAACCTACCAGTGGAGGTTATTAGAGAAATCTCTGAATAAAAAGATGATGCTTGTTCAAATAGAAAAAAGCTCTGTTAGCCGTCATAACTGATGCACCGAACGTAGCAGTAGGACCTGTGTGGCAAATTAAGCGAGGGAACTACTTTCATTTGCTTCCGAATAGGTAGAGTGCTACCTAAGTGGGATTCAGAAAATCTATAAAATAATTGCTGGAGATTCACCTGGTAATGAAACATTCCCTAGATATTGTAGAAAGGGCTACTTTCACCGTATATACAGACAATTAAATTCTCACAAAAACGTTTCACGTCAAGCAAGATAATTATTTGACGCAAGAAATTAGACAATTATAATTCGTTTCTTAATTGACTTCCAGCGTACTATATATTAAAGGGAACAGTAATGACGTAGCCGATGCATTTTACAGGATAGCAATAAATACCCCAGATACAACCAGAACGGACTATTATAAAATAGCTTAACTAAAAATAGCAACCTTCAAGTTATTGTAAACAAAATCCTTTGTTATAACTCATAGAATACTCAAAGGCTACATTATACGATGATAAACTAATATGTGATTCTTCAGTGGGCTGAGAACGACCGCTGATTAGCGAGTCAGTAAGACATAACGCCTTCAAACCTATGCACAGTAATTCTTACACTGGAATAAAAGCCACCGTTAGGCCAGCCAGTGAAGATTTCATATGACTCAACTTTACCAACGATT